TATCCACTTTTACTAACACATCTTCTATAACTCCCTTAGGATATGTAACTAAATGATCCACTAACTGAAGAGTTACAGAAGTAGTTGAGACTTCTCCTAATCCTAATCTTTTGAAAATTGATAGAGGCATAAGATTAATGTTGGCTCCCAAATCACAAAAAGCTCTTCCATAAAATCTTTCACAGATAGCACAGGGTATAGTCAAACTACCAGGATCTTTTAATTTTTTAAGAAGCTTTTTCTGAATAATTGCACTACACTCTTCACTAAGTGCAACAGTTTCATTATCAGTGAACTTCCTCTTCTTATTCAGAATATCTTTGATAAATTTCACATAATTGGGCATTTTCTCTAAAGCTTCTACGAAGGGAATATTTACCGTTCATTTCTTAAGAATTTCTAACAACTTGGAAAATTATTTATTTTGTTTATGTTGCTTTAATCTTTGAGGAAATGGTGATGGAGGTTTCTCCATAGTAATTTTCATTGGTGTAAGTGAATATTCTAAATCTGGGTATTCATGATCCTTTTCTTTTTCTATATCCACTTTCTCTTTTTCAGTTTCCGTTTCTTTCTGTACTCTTGCTTCCAATTCTTTTTCACTTCGTAATTGTATCGCTTTTATTTGTTCTTTTCCTTGATCTTTAGGATTTGGTTCCACAGTACTAGGAAAAGTTCTTAATGTTCGGTTACTAAGCGCAGTAGCAGTAGCGATATGCCCTAATTGATTTTCAATATTTTTAATAGCAGTTCCTTGATTTTGTAACTGATTTCCTTGAATTTGTAATTGATTCCCTTAATTCTGCAATTGTTGACCTATGTTTAATATCATCTCTTCCATAGACAAATTTTTTTCCTTAATTTGAGTGTTACTGTTAGATCCTGGAGGATAAGAAAGGATAAGAAGGTCTATACCTGGAGGATAAGAAGGTCTATAATTAACATTTCCTAGGTTGGATGAATTTCCTAGGTTGTTCACTAGGTTGTTCGCCCATTGTTGATTTGTAGAAGAATTGTATTCCAATTAAAATTTTGATGATTCTTCCAACTTGGGTTATAATAGTTCGAATAACGATTATTCCGTTTATTGATAGCATTTAAAGTCTCATACGAAGGTTGAACATCCACAAATTTCCCAGATAAATTTTCTTCCATCATAGTAGCCATCATAGTAGGTGTTGGGTGTTGGAGAATAATTCATTCCATAATGATCTAATTTCTTGGATGTTGCAGCAATCTGTGAAGTTAACATAGATATTGCATCAATCTATCTTCTAACCTTAAAGTTGTATTTTTGCTAGTCTTTTAGTATTTACCCTTTTAAAGGGTCATTAAAAATTATTGGTAGCCATCTCTTCTATTAACGAATAAGCCTCATCAAAAGGTTTTGACATTAAAGAACCACCAACCGCGGCATCTATAATCGATCTAAGTGATCCCACTAATCCATTATAAAAAGTTTGAATTATCAACCAATCTGGTAACGAATGATGAGGGCACTTCCTAAGAAGATCTTTAAATCTCTCCCAAGCATCATATATCGACTCTCCATCAATCTGACAGAACGATGTTATATCATTTCTAAGTTTAGCAGTTTTGGATGGAGGGAAATATTTGGATAGAAATTTTTGTGAAATTTCTCCCCAGGTTCTAATAAATCCAGGTGCTAACGAATTTAACCACGTCTTAGCCTTATCCCTAAGTGAAAACGGAAAAAAGTCTAAGTCTAACAACATCGTTTGAAACTATATCATATTTAAACGTAGCACACAGTTCTAAAAAACTAGCGAGGTGTAAATTAGGATCTTCATTTGGTGTACCTCCGAAATGATTGTTTTGTACAATTTGGATAATAGCAGGTTTAAGCTCAAATGAATTAGTAGCCACATCAGGGTTTTGAATAGATAAGTGAATTTCTTCTGCTATAGGATTTGCATAATCTCGCATCGGTCTAGGTTTGTGTTCATTTTCTATTCCTTGATTGTTCACGTTATTTTCCATTGTATCAAAATTTCTAGGTTCTCTTCTTAGTCTTCTAATTTTTGTAACAATGTGTTATAATTCCGAATCGTAGGGTATAAAATTTTCAGGTCCAAATTTACGCATACAATTTGAAATCAGTACACAGAAAAACAGTTAACTAAATATGAAAATAAGTTGCAATTCAAGTAAAAATTTTCTAATAGTCCTAAGTTGTCTGTTACTCTAATTATGATTCTTGTTTACTCCTCGGCAACGATGCCAAAAACTTGATAGTAACTTTATATATGCCTAAAAATACAAGTTTTTAATACTGCTGTTAAGAGATTTAATTCCTCAGCAACAACACTAAAAACTTAACAACGGTTATAGATTCGATAAAAATGTATATATATAATATTCAATAATGGTAAAGTCACACTTATCAACGCAAATATACGTATCACTCAAGTAATATAGGGCTCTAATGGAGTCCTATATATCGATTCCACTTGGAGTAATATTAGAACTATGAACTAAGATTTTAGAAAATCAATACTTAATCACAACAATATAATTCAAATTGTTTATCTGTCACTAATAGACAATTGAAATGAATATGTAATTTTAATAACTCTTAAATAACTAATTATACTGATAAAGTTTTAATGTGAAATTCAATATATAAGAAAACATCATTCTCCTTGTCAAGAAATTATAGTGAATAAATAAAGTGAATCAATTCAAATTGTATTGTGCCAAATAGGAGCATACCTATTTTTTACCCTTTGGTTTTGGCACAAAGAACATTGACTAATCCTACGCTTGTTTACTGAACTGCGGCTAGGCTGGGAGGATATCGGCTCTCACTTCAGAGCTCCCACGTTCTTCTCGCCTGAGGGCTAACATCTACACTTCAGCAGCCAAACGATAGAACAGAATTGAGGATTTTAGTATGTCACTCTAAAATCTCTTTGGCACAAAGAACATTGACTAATCCTACGCTTGTTTACTGAACTGCGGCTAAGCCGGGGGGGGATCGGCTCTCACTTCAGAGCTCCCACGTTCTTCTCGCCTGAGGGCTAACAATCTCACATTTGTTTCCAATCAATAGAACCAAATTGAGGATTTTAATCTGCCACCTTAAAATCTCCAATTTCATGTCTAACAACGTATATTCCCTTTTTATTTGCACTTAACCCTATAGATTACATTCTCACCTATAGAATTGAATGTGACTTTCACCAAGTTGTAGAAATCATAGCCCTTTCGGATCATATGTTTCTCAACTCATTTTAACATTTCAATTTGCAGATCAAAATGTAAATGAAGATCGGAGTTTAAATCATAAAATCACCATTTCACAAATCTCAAGAAAAGGAGAAAGACAGAGAAAGCTACTCAGAACTCATGGGAAAGACACAACAAAACTTGAAATTCATATATAAAAACAAAGTCATACAAACTACAACAAGTAAATAACACTTATATCTAATTCCTCCCCAAGCAAACTCCTCGAAGTTCCTCAAAATCTCTTCTTTTCTTTATAACACAAAGAATTTCTCTTCGAAGCGGCAAGGAGGAAGAAATCTCTCACTTTCCCTTCACTCTTACAATCTCTCGAAGAATCCGTCACAATTAGACTCTCTACACATTACTGGGGCCCTTGGACGCTGTTCTAACCTTCTAACTCCTCGAACTCTTGAGCCTCCCCTCTCATTTTCGGCCAAAGTCTTCTTTTAAAGATGTGGATGAGTTTTCACAAGAGTTACCTAAGCATCCCTAAAAAAATCGCCCACATTCAATGCATATTTGGAAATAACTGCCGATCTCGCCGTCGGCGGCCTCGAGGGCGCCGTCGGCGGGCCTCTGGGCCTTCTAAATTATTTAATCTGGAGTCTCGGGAAATTCTCGCCGTCGGCGCCCTAGTTCAAATCTTCACATTTTTGTTCTTTTCGCTCCAAATTTACTCTTTTTGTATCTTTTTGCTTCAATGACCATAATTCATCATACCTGCAACAAAACATCAAAAAAACATTTCTTTAAAGTGCAATATCATCAAATGCAATATCATCAAAAATAATGTAAAATAGATATGAAAATCTCAACATATTTTTCTTTGGTCAAAAACTTTGGTCAACAACTTTGGTCAACAGTTCGAACAATACGAAGGAAAAGACTCAATCTCTACCTTCTGCCAATATCCATGATATTGTGTGCCGACCAAATTTCATCAGAAGCGGAGAAGTAATGCCTCTTTGAACAAGTACACTGACTCCAGATTGACGTAAAAGATTAAAAGTAGGAATGTCCGTTTTAAGTGGCTTACCATTAACTGAGACAATTATATATATATATATATTGTCTTGTAAGAATTAAAAACTATGTATTACATCCCAAAATAAAATTAGAAAATCAACGGTTGGATAAACGAGGCACACAACAAATCCAATAAAGAATATCGCCTTACATTATTTTTTAAAGAAAGCATAAATGAGTAGTGCGTTGGAACACAAAGGTAGGCCTCACATAGCAATCAAGAGCACTAAAATCAATGCCCATCACATGAAACCATGTGAACCCACTGTTCTTCCCCACCGAACCAAATACATCCCCCATTGACCAGCCCCACAAAACCAGAAGTTCTGCATCCCGTTACTTGCTTGGCTGGCTCTGCATAATTATGCATATTTAGGCAGATTTATTAATTGGTTCCAATTGTATTTAGGCGTCTAGTAGACGATGATTTTAAATACTTATTTATTTTTCTTAGCAGAAAGCCAAACGTCACCGGGAGAAGCAATCCTCAAAATGTTTATAGACAGTCTGAATTTTCTTTAAAAAATAAATATTTGTATTTCAAACATAAAACAGTTCTTAAAATTAGCCTCACAATTAAAACTAATAACAAAATTGCACTTTATTGAAATCAAGACAAAAAATATTCTTTAACTTAGTAAGAAGATAACGAAGGAGCTGAGACATTGCTGTCACCAACGGACTAAAAAAATCGACTGAAAACGAAAAATTAAAAAGAACTAAGGATTTAAGCATTGTTTGAAAATTGAAAATTAAATCTTAGAATTAACAGGTTCTTAAAAAAAGAACAGATAAATCAAATAGAGCATAATTATTGAGTAGCAGAGCTCGGAACGGTTTTTGACTCCAATACCACGCCCATCAGCCCATGGCATTAGAGAATCGGCTTGCTGCATTTACCACAATGCAATCTAGTCGAAACATTTTTTTACAGCATACTACAAGTTGTAAGAATCGGAGAAATAAAGAAAGAGGAAGGTGAACAGAGGTGGAGAATTAGGGGAAGGTTGCCAGCTGCAACCGAGAATGGAGAACCGGTATCAGAGAGAAAAGCCATCTGATTCCGCTAAGGTTTTGCCAGAAGCTGAGAGAACGGTGGTTAGAGCGCTCATAGCGCGGACCTGCATCTGCAGCGCGGCGATGTAGTCTGACGCCTCCACGAGCAGCATTGGAAATGAAAGTTTCCGGCCGCCAGGAACAAGACGGCCTAGAAAAGCAGCCTTTCCCACTAGGATCGGCGAGTTCTTCTTCTTTGATCTAGATACAGCGGTGTAGAAAGTAGATTGCAAGGATGAGGAAGGTGGCCGTCGACGCTTGAGAAATAGTTTCCGGTTAGAAAGAATAGCGCGGCTCCACCGTGTTCGGCCTCGTGCTGCAACAGCCAAACACCGATCTGCTGCCTCCCGTATAACACGGCTCCGACGGAGGCCATGAGTCGCCGGTGTCGAGGAGCGGACCCGGCGGAGGGTATCAAGTAGCTTAGATGTATAGACTTTCTGCTCTTTTTCCGTGCGCCACTTTTTCAGAGATTGTCCCCAATCGTGATCGATCTTATTCAGCTTCCTTTCACTGGCCACCAAATCCCCCTCCGCATTCGGTATCGCCATCGGGTGACCAAATCAATCGATCGAGATCTGGGAAAGATCAAGTGCTGATCTCCGCTGATCACCAATAAATAAACAAAAATCTTTCTGAGAAAAAAGGAACCGAGTCAATCGATCCGTGTTATTGACTTGAAAATGGAATCAATACGATCGATCCAGACAAAGAGCCCGTAGGAATTACTGTCCTTACCTGAACAATCGACGGTAGCTGCACTGGGCGGCAGAGATCTCGATATCGCAGGGGGAAACCAACAGAGAAAATTAAATCATCGGATCGAACCATACGAAGAGCCCGCAGGTATTAGTGTGCTTACCTGATCGCTGCACCAGGCGGCAGAGTTCTCGAAATCGCAAGAACAAGCCAACAATGCAATCGTTCCAGAGAGAGAGAGACAGGCAGAGAGAGAGGCAGCCGAGGCGTGCGAGTGAATGAGGTGAATGAGTTAGGAGATTTGTCGACTGCCGCAGGTCATTTAATAGTGGGGGTGAATGTAGCATTTACTAGCGACACTTATAAATCATAAATTTTCCCTAAACTTAATTAATGAGGCCTTCCTCTTTACCCCCAAAATTATTACTTAAGCAGAGATCCGATATCCGCTGTATCATGTAGATAGCTCGAATATAATTTTTAGTCCAGACGATAGATGTAATAATCTCTCTTTCTTACCCTGATGCGGCAGTAGGCCGACCCTTCCGGACTATTGTTGCTTTCTAGAGTCATGCAATGCAAATAAAAGCCAAAGTTATTGATCTACCGAGTGATTTTGTTTATTATAAATAATTTATTATAGGTAAATTTGTTTCATTGATCCGAAATACCACCTAAAAAGAACAACACTATCATGTATTTATCAAGTTATTATATAAACATCTTTGGAAGTTTTTATCCTTATAATAAATTTCATTCAATTTATTGTTGAGGAACAGACTGTGAAATCCCACCATAAAAAAGGCCGATCTATTAGAAAAACTAAATATATCACATTGCCTTGATAAATTTTGATTTTTGTATAGTCCTCTCTGTCACATAGTAGGCTTAGATCTTGATAGATTTAAATTTTTTTAGAAATTAGTCACAGTTAATGTTTTTTTTTTCATTTATTTTTAATATAAACTATTCATTTTATATAATTTCTAAAAAAAAATACAATTTGCTATGAATTTTCTTTCATTAAGAGATAAAAATTACGGTGCATATTTGAGAAAATTTGTTTTTATAGTTTTCATAATTAAAGTTGCACAACATATAAATAATTTAAATCAGATAGTTACATCATTGCAAGAGAATGAGAAAATGGCAAGCAAGAAAGTTAACTATGAACATCTCTATTTATATCACAAAGTCCTTGTTTATCATCATCAAATGTAATTTTATTTAGTTTTTTTTATTGTTGTTGAATACAAATATGTCATTTGGATCACACCAAAGGTATAATACGTTGGAAGGATGAGTGGGATTCAGAGAGAGATTGAGAGAGCTGTTGAGTGCATTGTAAGGAAGCTTTTTAAGAGAATAAATTTAGTAGCCATTTATTGGAGAAATGACTGTCACACGTCCTGATTCTTAATGTAGAGGTCTCATGCAAGTATACACGTTGTATCAGTAAGATCAGATTTTGAGTCCAGAATATCGGTCCCATAGGAAGTGAGGGAATTAGACTGAAGGGAAGTTCAAGCCTACTAGGCTTAGTTCTCAGCCTGGAATTGAAAATAAATAAAGGTTCTATAAACTACTCCTACCAAATTGTAATCTAGTTTAAAGGTTCACTCCTAAAAAATTTTTTCTTATCCTAATTGGTTTGGTGATTATCAAGTTCTAAAGCTACATTCCCTTGAAATAGTTTGAGTGATATTGTAGAAAATGTATAGTGTCAATTGTGAATGTTGCCAGTGATAAATAGAATCAACTCTCTTATTTACCATCTCTCGAGTGCATAACAAAGTTTGGTTAAATTGGTTATGATTCCTTCAACCCCAACTTGAACCCAACAAAAAACTATATCCCTAACATTTGGATCTCCATATAAAGTACATGCACCATATCCTATAGAGAAATGTGAATAACCTAGTTTTTCTACCATAGCTTTCTCAAGTCATTATGAATCACAACACATTTTAAACAATCACTTGACAAGAATGAAAAGTAAATGAAGTTCAGAATGTTATCCATCACATTCAAGATTACAAATTAACTTTCGAAAGACTTTGCACTCCTATACAACAAATTCAACCATTACAAGGAAAAGTGAAGGAGATCTACTCAGAAAAAAAGAAAAGACACCACAAAGCATCATTTGAAACATGAAAACCAACTAGAAATTTTACAATAACACATTACTTAGCTTTTCCTCTACTTACAAAGATTTTAGAATGCTCCTCCAGGGATTTCCTGCACCCTTGCTGCTATTCTGAACACTCTCCTTATAAATCAACTCAAATTGCTTAACAAATACTCAAGGAAACCTATCGTATTCCTTCCTACAACAAACACTACCTCTTACTTCACCAAAAGATGAACTCTTTTATCTAGATGAATAACTCCCTACATAATATAGAAGAACCATTGAAAACAACCCTAGCAGTTTCTGGGACTTAGGCGCCAGTCTTTCTAACCTCTTATTTTGTTATGGGTACATGGGCGCCAAAAAAATTTATCACCAAGTCGCTACTGAACTGGCGCCAGCCTCTCAGGTTCTCAAGGTGGGACTGGAGCTTAGGCGCCCAAGAAATCTGGCGCCATGGTGCAAGTCACTTGTGTCCTTCTTAGCTATATGTCAGCTCCACTTTGCTCTACTTCTAATACATGTTTTATCTATAAAGGAAAAAACTTAAAAATACCTTTATTAAGGTGCAACATAACCATAAGAATATGCAAAATATAAGGAATTCAAGAATTCTTTTTTACACATCAAAATCTCATAAACTCTCATAAAATTAAATGTTACTTGTCCCTTAGTAACATTAGAATATTAATAAAAATTTTATTTAATTTGAGGGAGTAGTTTTCATTAAATTTATCAACAATTTGGCTTCAGAAAGTTCATAGTGTAGGATTAAGATAACTCTAGTAAACAAGTCTAGTCCTAAGGAGTAAGAAACCTTGCAACCAACTAAGAAATTATAATTTCTTATTTACTTCATAAAGAAATTATCACTTGCTAAATATGATCTCATAGATGGTAGAAAACAGAATTGAAGTGCTCCTTTCAAAAAAGTTTACTAATATTGTGTAGTAAAGCTTTAAATTTAAAAATAAATTCTAGTCAAACTAATTTTTTATTATGGTTCTCTTCAAGCTTCTCCTCACTTTATATTTCCTTTTTTTCTTCTTCTTTTTTTATATTGCTTTAGAATGTTGATTTCATTCCTTAGCATATTTTATGAGGATTAATATATCTATTCAAGCCTTTTAAAGGTTTTGAATATCACTATCATCTCTCTGAAGAAAAACTCACAACTCTCCTTCACTTTTTAGTTTTATCAAAAGTTAAGAAGTATTAGTTAAAAATATGATTTTATAGTGGCTCAACTCTTATTAAGTTTATATAAAGTATATCTAATTTTACAAATGCTAGACTATTTTCAAAAATAATTAGTCAAATCTTCTTTTTCTACCTATTGAACTACAAGTTAACTTCACATTAGTCTAGTCTCATTTACATAGAATTTAACATAAAGATTCTTCGTCTTTCCTATCCCCAACATTGTGATAATTTCAAATTTTAACCTTACATTACTCAAATTTGCTAAAATATATCAATTCAAATAAAGGTAATTGAGGAAAAATAAATTTAAGCATTTAAATAAATCCCCCTCCCCCCAACCCCACCAAACATAATTTTTATCATATTATGCAATTTAAACATGAGTACAAACATAGAGAGAAAAGCGTAGAAATACTTCCTATCACATGTGTCTATCATCAAAATTGATCGGTATAAGCAGGACAAACATATATGCAATATCAATTAAATCACCTCTAAATAGGATTAAAATGAAACTACTCTAGAGAAAGTTTAAATATTACGACATATAACTAAAAAATTAAGTTTACAATAAATAAACATAAACTGTTCAAGAGAGTCCATAAATAGCAGCAACAGAAAAGAACAAATAAATTTCAGTACAACCACATAACATTAAAATAAAATACTAGCCATAACATCGACAAAAAGATAAGTATAACTACTCATCTTCCTCATTATTGTCATCGTGATCCTCTTCTTCTTCTTCCTCTTCTAATTCTTCTTAGGTATAACTCTCTTTCCTCAGTCGACTGTACTCAAATATCTGGTAAGGTGGGTATACTAGTAACTCTACCGAGTTGTCCCCACTGATTCACTGATTCTTTCTGTACATTTCCACCAGAGTTGCTTGAAAACTGGCAACTTGATTGTATTGGATTTTATTCTGCGAATCTAAATGTGCCAAATGGTTAGCAATACTATAAACGTTTGTCTAAATAATATTGATGTCATCCTCTACCATCTACAATCTCTTTGACATAGAAGCTATGCTAGTGGAGGGATGAGGTTGGGAATAAGAATTGGAAGGCTGAGAAGAACTTGCTCTACGACCAAAAGTAGCATGCTTATTATATAAGTTAACATTGGCCTTGGAAATGGGTTTTAATGGATGTAGCAGCTCCTCCTATCCCTAAAAATAAACACCAGACTGCTGACAAATGACAAAAATAATGGAAAGACATCCTAACCATAAAGTGGATCCTCCCTTTATAGAAGTGTTAATGGAATGATAGATCAGAGCTCATATATCTATAGATTTCATAGTCTAGATGCAATAGTTGAGAGCAGCTCTCTCTCTTGGAACCTTACTCAAATTGGTAGAGGGTAGTAGCTTGGTCAAAATTATGTAGTGCCAAGGTTTGGAAGGTGCATTTAGTTTGGATGAAGAAAAATTCACATTATGGTCATTTCTCACCTTCAAGTCCCTTTCCCATTGGTTAAAAATTAGATGATCTCATTTAGCTCAAAATCAATAGGAGCGAAGCTAGAGCAAAAACTCCCAGCGAAATCTCCTAACAAAAATAGCGCATTAATTCACAAAGGAAAGATATCCACTTGCTTCTCCCTTACAAATATTGAATCATTAGAGGCCTCAAGGAGGTTGGCATTGAATTCTATATAAGTTATTGCTACAACCATAGTATAACAAAAATTCTTCTAGTTTCGCCTAATAATCATTCTTTCTACCTGTCCCATAAGGCTAATGAATCCCTTCTCAACAATCAAATTAACACTAAGAAGTCATTATAACATGATCTCGACTGTTTATATGCAATAGTATAACAATGTGTTTGATTATATTTTTCACTTATCTTTCCTTAATTTGCAATAGTACCAAAAACTTGATCCTGGAGAAAATAAGAATTTAACTTTTAACTTTATATATATTGGGATACTACGCAAGTATATGTATCGTTATCAAGTAATATAAGACTTTTTGAT